AAAAAACACTAATCTTGGGGTGCATGTTTTGCAATGCTCATAAAGGCTCTCATAAATTGGTAGTAGAGCTTCGGACACAGGTGCTGGCAAATTATAAAACAGCCTCGAAGTAGGCTCCCCATTTTTTTCAGGTTTTGCATTGTACTAGCGCCAAGACTCTGGGCAGTCAAAATGACATTAAAAAAAAATTATTGCTTCCTGGTGTTTGAAAATTTGCAGAGAGAGGGAAAAATACTTGCAGATGCCAAATATTTCAGTTCTAAAAAATTAATTTTTTTGTCACTTTTTGATTCCAAAGACCAGTCTACCCCCTTAAATTCTTAGCAGTGATTGCTATAATAACAAAATGTTGTATTGTTATACCAAGTAAGGCTTGATGTTAGCCGCGAACAGAACTAGTGGCGGGGCTGCCATTTAGAAGGTCCGAGAACGTGCAAAAAGCTTCCTTCACGCGCTGTGTTTGATATTCGCATGATGGCTTGGATGACTAGGAACCTCCGGAACACCTTTGGCATGCTAATGCACGATTGGCGCGACGATGATTTGGCTGCATTGAAATCACGGCCCACTGCATACCCCCTGTTGGAGGTAGCAGATGACGACGAAGAAGGAGTGATGGCGGGCTGCTGTCTCCTCAGCGAGCGCTAAGAAGTGTGTGCCCCAGTAGTATCATCATGTACAGTTTAGTGTCCATTTGTCGCCATTAAAGGCATTCTGCTGCTTGCCTCACGGCGCTTCATTTAACAAAGGCCGGCATTCCACAACAAATGGTGCCCAGAACTCGAGACAATGAGTGGCTCCCAACGAAAGGAACAACGAGCCACGGCGGCTAGCAGTTTTTTCTAGAAACTGCAGCTGGAGCAATCTCATCCGCATTGGAACCACACCCAAGAAAGCAACGAGCGGAACCGGCTACCTTACGAGTAAGTAAGCCGTAATATTAATGACATGGACCATCTGAAAGCCGAACGTGCTGCTAAATGAACACAGTTAACGAAGGTCATGAATGAGGTAATGAAGCTGTTAGTGACAGCAACGACCGAGCCGGGTTCAGCAAAGTCATAGACAAGCTCGTCGCGAGCTATGACGAGCTGCGGAAAATCAATGCTGAAATTGAGGACATCATTTTGGTTGAAGAACTATAAAAAAGAGTACGAGTCTGCGATGCATTATGATGATGGGGCACTTGTGACCCTGTTGCGCCTGAGGTGCCGTCTTGATGAGCTCTGCCTCATCAACGCACTGCAGACCATTACTTCGACGACCATCAACACGGTCGCTTGCCCAAAGGGCAGCTGCATCCCAGAGCTTTGGACCGCGTCTCCGAACGCTGATGACCAAGCCACTTCATGGGGACGTGTGAATGGACATCTCTGAGCATGACGGATAAATTTCACTACCTCTGCCACTACATGGTAGGTGAAGCCGCAGCTGCGATTGCAGGGCTATCAACGACGGAAGTTTGCTATGGGAGTGCCATCCAGCTGTTGAAGTAGAGGTTTGAGGACAAGAGCCGGATTGGACAAGAGCCGGATTGGACAAGAGCCGGGTTGGACAAGAGAGATTGAAGTAACTAGAAGAATAAGAATGGAGTGGAGCACATTCGGCAAGCATTCTCATATTATGACAGGTAGATTGCCACTATCCTTCAAGAGGAAGGTATATAACAGCTGTATCTTGCCGGTACTTAGCTACGAAGCAGAAACCTGGAGACTTACAAAGAGGGTTCAGCTTAAATTGAGGACGACGCAGCGAGCAATGGAAAGAAAAATGATAGGTGTAACCTTAAGAGACAACAAGAGCAAAGTGGATCAGGGAACAAAGGGGGGTTAAGGATATCATATTTAAAATCAAGAAGAGGAAATGGACAAGGGCCGGGCATTTAGCGCTAGACAGGATAACCGCTGGTCATTGAGGGTAACTGATTGAATTCCCAGAGAAGGCAAGCAGGTTAGGGGGAGAGAGAAGGTTAGGTGGGCAGATGTGATTAAGAAGTCTGTGGGTATAAATTGGCAGCAGCAAGCACAGGACAGTTTTAACTAGAACATGGGAGAGGCCTTTGTCCTGCAGTGGACGTAGTGAAGCTGATGATGATAATAGATGGTGCTGTACGCATTCTGTGTCGTCATCGCCATTTCTCGTCTACTTTCCTGGATGGCGCTGTCCCTTAGAAATATGGGCAAAATGTTGGTTGGGTGAATGGACATAGATGGCATTGGAGGTGTCACTTCTCTCCATTTGACTGCTGCCCGGGGCTCCGCCGGCATGCCCATTATCTTTCATTCTCCTGGATCGTCGCCATACATGTCGGATCGTGAGCGCGATGGCGAGCAGATCCAAAGACGGTGCGTGCCAAGGACGCTGCTGCGAAACGTGTGCAACAAGAAGTGGATTGTAATACACTGCACTCCAAGGAAGCCGCTGCGAAACTGGCTCAATGAGAAGCGGACCACGCAATGTGAGAGCGAAAAGCGGCAAGGTTCTCGGAGGTTTCTTGGGTGAGGTTCTCGGAGGATTCACGGTATCACTGAAAAAACCTCCGGAGCTTCGCCCACCGCGCATTCTATGAATCGTCCCGCCGTCTATAAAAGTCTGAGGTGATGAACAATAAGTCCCAGTTCTTGCAATTAGACGTCACGTATATTGACAGCATATTCACCAGTGTCCAGTTTGTGCAATCAGTAAGGCCATTCATATGTGGATGGTATGGTTCAAATGTCAAAGTTCTGAGCCATGCATACGGAGCAGTTTCTCGACAACGTCTGCCGCAAACTGACGGTCGCAGTCACTTCTTATGACGCGAGGAGGTCCATGACGCAGTATAATCGAGTGCAGAAGGAAGGAGGAGACTGCCCAGCTGTTGCAGATGGCAGAGTGGCAGTCTCGAAGTGTAACCAGCGCACACTACAGTTCATTGGTTGTCTTTTGTTGAGTGTGGACCTGATATAAAACTTGCTTCTCCAGTGTACCTCAAAATTACCTGCTCCAATGTGCTCCAATACGGAAAATTTTGTTGCTTCAAAAATTGCTCCAAATTGGAAGACCTTGTTAGCATCACTGTAACGTGCCACTTATTGTACGTCATAAATATTGAGGTATTGAGGTATCCCAGCTGGCCAACATTATTCGGTGCTAGCCAGCGTTAGCCAATTTCAGTTAACTGTGTGCCAACACTGGGCACCCTTACACAGCAGTAGCCAAGAGTTACCGAAGCAGTTGGTTGTACACAATACTAAGTACATGTCATCGTAAGCATCGTATCGTGTTACTTATTGTATGTCCTGGATATTGAGGTTATCGCAGCTAAAGAATTGTCATTTGGGTCGTACAATGCTTGTCATGTCATGACGTGTGATCGTCTGGTGTCCGTGAAAGCTCAGTGTGGAAAACGTGTGACACCTCCCACTGGAACTGGCGATAGTGCCAGCAACTGCTGCCAAAACCAGGCGTAGCCACGCAGTAGGAGAGAGTAATCTAGCAGATAATGAAGGATAGACTTCAAAAGTGCGTGCCCTTGTCCACCACTTAAGTAACGGCTCTTAGAGGTTGAGAAATAGCATCCTTTTGTTTCGTGTGTAAAGTGTAGTAGGCACAGCTTTTGTGCTTTCAAATCACATAAATAATCGTAGCGTGGCCTCCGTATTGTCTAGTTTTTGGCAAACATTTTGGGAACACCACTTAGCAGCAACCCTCCTCTGCTTCACCAGGTTAGCCTAAGGAAATTCTTTCATGCTCCTATATTGTGTAATAATATGCTCTTCTAGTTTTTCTTCAGTAATTTTTCTTCAAAGTAATAAAAGAATGTTGGGAGAAATATTTCAGAAAAGTCTGAAAAATGTTTAATTCAATTTGCACCCTGGCTTTGAATGTTCGAATTCACTTCACACCAAAAGTTTTGCTCTTTGATCAGCGCTAATAAGTGGCTGTGTTTATGATTACCTCTAAATTTAGTCGTAAATGTTTGATTTTATGATATGATTAATGCTAGCATCTTCAATTATGAACAATTCTAGCTCTTTTCAGGGCGCTCACCTGCAGTGCACAACATACAGAAAACAAAATTAACAAATGGCAAACTGCTGCAGAGCGAGTGCCTAGCTTGCCGCCGACCTGTCTTTCAACTTTATTGAGGGGTTGCTACTTCTTACATTCAATAAATATGTGCATTGTCACTGAAGTTCTCAAAGTTTGATAAAACGTCTTTTTGTTTTATACTGAGAGAAGCAATGGGCTACTTCAGTACACAATCAACCATTGTGGTACAAAGAAGGCTTCCAGCCAGATGTGTCTTTGAAGTGTGTGGACTCTTTGCAAATATTGCCATTCTGCATACTGTATTCTGAATATTGTCACGGGGTCATGAGGTAGACGAAGAGAGCAGACTGTTGATCGAAGATGGAACTGTTTATAGGGCCGAACTTGTGGCCGACAAACAAAAAAAGCAAGATCACGGCAATATATAATGGCACCGATAGCGACGAACAGAGCGTCAGCCGTCGATCAGCTGACGAGCGGTGAAGCGCGTTATACACGCGCCGTCGAATATTTCAGCGTGATTGCTAGCGGCCACATAGGTGCCATCTACTACAGTCCCAAAGCTTCTGGAACACTGCGGGTACAATTTTCGATGAGAATTACGTACAGTGTAACGAAGCAATAACATAACTTGAGGAAGAATCGTGGCATTATTGCATTTGCATCTTAGCATTCCTTTGCACACAACAGTGTCACAAAGCCATTTTTATAGTTTATTGCAAGAAACTGTTTTTTTATTATGTTTGAGCGTAGTTTACTTTTCGTTAGTAATTTGAAATTTTGTTGCAAATTTCAATGGTTGGGATTCTGTTCAGTTATTATAGTAAGAAAGCCCAGCATTAAAATTATATCGGCTTTCATTCCCTGTAATGATTATTTGTATGTTTGAAAGCCGTCATGTGGTTGTCATTTTGTGCACTTGCATGAAATTTTCATTAATTAGTATGGCATGTCCTGTTTTTTAGGTTTGAAAAGGCACGTTTGAAAATTGCACAGAAGTATAATGAAATTGAGAAGGCCCTGATTGCCGAATTTGTGCGAGCGCATCATGAGGGTGACAAGGAAACCATGAGACAAGTGGCAGCTGTGCTGTCCCACTTTAAGGTACGTGTTTTCGCTTTTCCCATTGGCTGCCTTTCTTAGCAGTGGCAGTTCAGCAGTTTGATGCAGGCCTAAGGGTTGTTGTGATGCCTGAATCATTATGAAAACAACATCAATCCACACACATGGCATGGTTTCATTAGTTACTATAATAATTTTTGGCATAAGAGATCACCAGCAATATGCTTGAAGTATAGAAATGGCAGGGGAGAGTTATTAGTAAAGTTCGCAACACATAGCAACTGCAGGATTATGAATACTTTCTACTCAAGATGACAGAACTGGATGTGGACATAGAAGAGTTCTAGTAGTGACTAAAGAAAAGATAGACTTCGTACAAGAAAAGCATGCTAATTTAACCCCTGTTAATTAGGAAAGCCTAAAAGTTTGGGCGTGTTCTCTAGTTCCAGCCAGCATATTCAGTGATAAATGGCAGCATACTCTCCTTAATTCGATCATATTTAGCTGCAATATGGCTAATTCGGAAGACTCTCGGAGCGCACTAAACACAAAGCACCGCAAATGTGCACTGGAAAGGAAAGAAAATGGTATTCACAAACAACCAAAATGGACACGGGCTTTCAGAAAGGCTTTGTTGCCATCCTACCACAATCATGTTGTTGGCGCCCAGTTTTTATAAAACATCCTTGTTGGCGACCAAGGCTTTAGCGACTGTGGCGAACTTGTTTTGTTTTCGATTTTACTCCTTGTGCACAAGCAGTTTCTGGGCACAGTTTGTTATCCTGAGAGTTTCAGATTTCCAAGATATGTCCAGTATCCTATAAAAGTGCTTTAAGCTAGGCGTAAAAAAGCCAGCATTTTCAAAACGAGTTGTTGAGATCCACAGAAAGCTGTAGAAGTCTAGTGCTGAGAAAAAAAAAAAAAGACAGGGGTCAAGGTTAAGCTTATCTTTGACAAAATGAAAAAAAGTTCCGCAGATCCCATATAGTTTCAAAAACAATGTGTTATGCTTAGAATGCGGGGAAAAGATGAATGTCTTTTATTTTTTATTTTATTGAGTAAGACCTTATGAAGTGGCACTATTTATATGTACAGATCCATGCACATGCATACCTTAAACAGCTTCATTTTTAAAACTGGACAAGTTTGTAATGACTCATTGTAAGAGGCAAACAGCGTGAAAAATGAAGGCAGAGAAGTACAGTAGAACCTCGTTATATCGAACGGCGCGGTGATCGCAAAATAGTTCCAGATATCCAGAATTCGATATAAAAAAATCACGAAAAAAATGCGTCAACAGCTTGCTGAAAACAACCAGCGAACCGTTCAAGCGTGGTGCAGTAAATACTCACTTGAAGATTCAAACATAGTATTTATTGTGTTGGTTTAAAATATTGAAAAAGAGTAGCCTGCTTTTTGTTGGCCATGGCGTGTTTGACGACTGCGTCCTCAATATAGTCCAGGCGACCCATAAGTGATAGGCCGGTGCCTTCAATCGCGCCGCAGTGGCGGCGCACAAGGGCCAAGGCAGCTACGACCTCAGCAGATATCGGGAGCGGGGCACCATCAGCGCTTGCGGGATCCATCTCGGCAGAGTCTTCATTTGGCTGCTCAGCAGTAGCTTCGGCGACAATATCCACATCCTTGAGCTCCGCGCGCGACAGGCCTAACTCCGAACGCACGAACACTGCGAGCACAACGACCGATGCCTGCCGATGCTACGGGGGAGGAGCTTGCAACAAGTGCGCAGTCTGCCGTTGACACCATAGAGACTGCAACGACTGCAAGCTGCAAGGCTGCGGCGTGAGTCAGGGTGTAAAGCGCGCACATGGCGCGCCCATGCCGGCTTGCCTGACTGCTTTCCCCTCCATGGCTTTCCCTTTTCCGGCGGCAGCGCGGGCCGCGTCCGAGACAGTGGTCTGCGTCCTTTCCCTCCTATACTTTCCTCCTCAATCTTTACCTCCCACTCCCCCTTCCCCCGCGCGAAGCCGTGTCGGTGCCTTCGTTTTGAAAGAAAATAACAGCTCCGCGCTTTTCACTTTCCTCATTCAAGAACCTCTACCGCAAGGTTGCGGCACGCGCACGCCGCTACGTTAAAGTGGCGCTCTCGGCGCCATCGATGTGTGCAGCATTCGTAAACGCTCGCCGCTCTACCGCTACTTTCGAGAGTTGCGAAAAGCTCGCCGCCTGTCAATAGAGTGCGGGCGGTTTGGGGTGGCTGAGTTTGATATATCCATTATATGTCAAACTTTGTTCGAAATAAAAAATCAATAATGCATGAGATTTCCCACGTGATATAGGAACCGTTCGATATTTTATTTGTTTATTTATTTATTTATACAATACTGCAGGCCTAGGGCGGCCCAAGCAGGAGTGGTTTGTTTGTATATCAATGATGAAAACCAGATTTAAACAACAAAAAAAAAAGAAATACAAATTGAGAGCAAGAAGAAATAAGCAATGAACAATCGAAGAAAACACCAGAGAACAGGAGAGGACTAATCAGTGCATATTTCAGACATATGGCACATAAGAAGGTAAAAACCAAAACAGGAAGAAAAAAAAAACGAAGCAAGGCAGCAATGATCATAACTGTAGCGTAGCTCAGATTTTACACAACTAGATATGGGAAACCAATCACAGGATAAAGGCACCGTTACAAATTTATTCTGCGAGCTGGTTAAACAACTGAAGAACATTATTTGATAAGAAGGTTTCAGATGGTAAGGCATTCCAATCACTTATGGTGCGCGGGAAGAAGGAATGTTTGAATTTGTTTGTGCGTGCAAAAATCGAGTGAAATTTAAAAGGGTGAAAGTTCCTGGAGGGTCTATGGGGCAAAAGGTTTAGATAAGGAGCAGGGTCGAGTGCAAGTTTACGGTTCCAAAGCTGATAAAGAAATTTTAGTCTTGTTATTTTACGGCGGCTCTGTAAGGTCATGATGTTGTTTGTTTGCATTAAAGAGGTAGGCGAGTCATGTCAGCGGTAACGATTATATATGAACCGTACAGCCAGCCTCTGAATTTGTTCAAGTTTGTTAATGTCTTTTTTAGTGTACGGGTCCCAAACGATACACGCGTATTCAAGACGAGGCCTGATTAGCGTGTTATATGCAAGAAGTTTAACATGGGAGGGGGATTTTTTTAGTTTGTGACGTAAGAGGCCAAGCTTACGCCGAGTTGATGCACAGATTTTGTCGATATGCATTGACCAGGTTAGATTATTTGTAAATGTTAAGCCGAGATATTTAAAGCTATTGGTCTGAGAAATTTCGACTCCCTTTACAGAGTAATTGAACATAAGAGGACATTTTTTATTGGTTATGCGCATGTACACCGTTTTAGTTTGGTTAAGCTTCATTCCCCAAATGTCGCACCAATTAGATATTAAATTCAGGCTGTCGTTGAGGGTAATTTGGTCATTAGTTGATTCAACAGCTCTGTACAGAAGACAGTCGTCCGCAAATAAACGAATAGCAACGCTTTCGTGCACACAAGAGGTTATGTCGTTTATATATACCAGAAATAATAAAGGCCCCAGGACACTTCCCTGAGGCACTCCGGAGTTAACTGATCCAAGATCTGAAACGTGACCACCGACATCAACAAATTGTTTTCTATGTTCAAGGTATGAGGCAATCCACTTTATTAGAAGATGCGGGACATTAAGTGTATTAAGTTTATAGAGAAGACCTGAATGCGAAACCCTGTCGAATGCTTTGCTTAGATCTAGAAATACTGCGTCAACTTGGCCGGACTTGTCGAGAACTGAAGAAAAGGTATGCACAATAGAAACGAGCTGAGTGGTAATAGATAGGCCCTTACGGAAACCATGCTGGAAGGGTGTTAAAATATTGCGGGAATTTAAAAAGTTGACCAGATAGTTGGAAATAATATGCTCCATGAGTTTGCTGCATGAGTTGAGAAGCGAAATAGGGCGATAGTTAGTAACGATGGCTCGATTGCCAGTTTTAAAAACAGGAACTGTACGTGCAATACGTCACTTGGCGGGGACAACATCTTCAGAAAAGGAAAGACGGAATATAACAACTAGAAATTTAGCTATGGATTCGGCATACCGATAGAGAAACATGTTTGGAATCTTATCAGGGCCTACAGAGGATTTCAATTTAAGATTAAGTAACATTGCAACTATTTCTTTATAACTGATAAAGTCAGAGTTCAGTCCGGTTGCATTACGTATCTCTCCAATATCATTACAAGGCACTGAATCAGAATAAACGTATTGAAAGAAACATTTAAATTCATTCGCAATCAGCAGTTTATCGGTTATAGTTTGATTTCCTATTATTATGCTATTAATGTCGTCACGCCCTCTCGTATTTAGGTGACGCCAAAATTTTGAAGGATTAGTTTTAATAAAATTAGGCAAGGTGGTGGAATAGAAAAATTGCTTATTCGCACGAATTTTATCCACTAGTGTTTGGCGCAGGGTTCTGGATAACGAATTGTTTACCTTACGTTTTTTCAACCTTTTGATCTTGCGTACTAAATGAATGATATCGCGATTGATCCACGGGTTTGCGCGGCGCACCTTCTTCGTTTTCACGGGAATAAATTTTTCGATGCAGAAATGGCAAATTGTTTGGAACTTGTCCCAAAGTAAGTTAACATCGTTATCAGCGAAGTTGTCGAGTTCAAAGTCTAAATAATCAAGAACACTTTCGTCGTTAGACCTACTGAAGTCTTTTACAGTTTTTTTGTCGGAATCATGCCCTAATCGTCCACCCAGTTGACACGTAAAAATTACAATTTTATGATCAGACAAACCGTCTACCTTTGCAACATCTGTTTCAGACAAGGTGGCACTGTAAAACACAAGGTCAAGAATTGAAGAATAATTTCCTTGTACTCGCGTAGGAATGTTTACGGCTTGGTTAAGATTGCATGCAAGCATAATGTCGAAAACCAAGTGGTCATCGGAAGAGGGGGAAGATAAAGAGGGCCATATAATGTTTGGAAGGTTGAAATCTCCGGCAATAATAATGTTACTTTTAGAGAATCTGATATGATCATATAGTT